TCAGATCTCCAAATAATTCAGTTCATAATCGGACGACAAAAAAATTGTTCTGATCATCGTTATCGAAGTGAATAATCATTCGACTTTCCTGATCGGCAAAAAGTCATATTGAAAAGTGTCTAATGTCAGAGTCGTTCAAACATCGGTCGCACAAGCGTCGGTCGCTCAAATGTCGGGGTTGCTCAAGTGTCGGTCGCTCAAATGTCGGTCGCTCAAATGTCCGTCGCTCAAACGTCGGGCGCTCAAATGTCAGTCGCTCAAATGTCGGTCGCTCAAACGTCGGTTTACGTAATCTCACATAATGTAAATAGCAGCAGTTCGTATATAATTGCTTGTATTCTTATTTAATGTACATAGTCTTATGTCACTAGTTGAATCTACAGTACTCTCTAAAAAAGAAACGTATTTTAAGAAACCAAAAGGGTATTTCGTCCCTTCCACGAAACGGATTTTGGTTTTGTATGAGATGCAAAAAACCAAAATTGGTATCCCGACTGCTGCTAAACGGTACTCTAAGGAATCAAGGGGTTTTTCATATGAAAAAGGGTATTTCAGCTTTGAAAATACTCTTAGAGTGTAAGTTTATTTCATTTCTGTTAGGATACCAAAAAGGATTTAGTAGGTTACGAGTGATTGGTATCCCAAAGTACCAAAATGGTTTTGCTATGAAAATAAAGTACGTTTCTGATGAAATACCGAAGTTAGTTTTTCAGGATGCCAAAAGGGTATTTTCATTCATAAAATGTCCTTTTGGTTCTGTAAGATACGGTTAAAATACCCAGAAAATATTTCAGTATATTAAAATACCCAGAGCGGTATTTTAAATACTGGAAATAAGATAACATAAGATTTTTATTTTACTCAGATGGTATTTCAGGATGCCAAATTGGTTTTTCTGCTTTTCGAAAGCCTTTTTTGGCTTTTAGGATAGTGATTCTTTGCTATCGTTCTCAACCTAGATTTTTTTACACTGATTTTTTAGGCTTATTTTCATCACCAAATGACTTTCTAGCCATGAATTAACTAAATAGATGCGTTTGCAAACTTTTGGCAAAATTTATAGTATTAATTCGTCTTTGGATCTAATTCTCGTAGATTCCCATTACAGGTACTTTTTTGTTTTAAGAACTTTTGAAAGACCTGCGCGAATTTTTGATGTTTCTTGAGTCTCCCTTTCTTTTTGATCATTGAGAACCGATTAAATTGCGCTGAAAATGTTAAATTGTGCTACGAATTTACAATGGAAGAAGAAATCTCCACTTTGAAACGAACTTAAAAGTAGTTTGAAAATGTTTGAGGTCGCGCTGAAATTAAAGAAATGGTGCTGGAAAATCTGAAATACTGCCTGATATTTGAAGAGAAAGTAACGTAAGCAATGTCCTTCCTTATTTGTCCAGAAGGCGTCTCGTAAAAAATGCAAAAATATAATATTCGGCTAGAGCACAATTTCTTACCTATTTGGGGTGAAAGCAGAACATTTTTATATGTTTTCCTTCAAAAATTCAACTTTTTAAAATATACTTTCAACATTTTTTTTTAAAGCCACACTCATCTCAGATAATCTCTAAAAGCGCACAATCTTTTTTCGCCAAGCCTGGAAGCGCATCGATGAGAGCTTTTAACATTCTTTCTGTCATTCATGCGTATACGCACCGATGGTATTTTACAGTACTAAAAGAGCTTTTTCTCGAGAATAAAAGCAAGTTTGGTATTTCAAACTTAACAGAATTATTTCTTTTTCGTTCGATTTTACTAAGTCGTTTTGATTTAGTACCAGCCATTTAAAAAGAACATGGTGTTTAAATATCCGTAAACGTTTTAGAGAGTACAAACTCCAATTGCATCATATACACAATATAATGCGTTATGTGCACACGGTTCGATTCCTAATCCGGCACTTGTAGGTATAGCTAAATTTTGGCTAGATCCCACAATTGACGACAAATAGATTTACAATATTTCAACCTTATACGGTCATTTTTAAGCGACAAAAAAGCTAACTAATTGTACGAAAGACTCTTTACTATCCTCTTCTTTCTGTCTCATGACTTAAAACGTGAAAGTACTGAAAGAAGAATTTCAACATTTTTCAAATATATGCTCATATATATAAAAAACCAATGACATCATAGTCAGTACATCGATGTTGAAATATTTTTATCCATTGACTCCTTGAGGTGGTATGAGTCTCCCATCTTCAATTTTTATCCTCGTACTTTTTCTCTAGACTATCTGGAAAGACGTACAAAGTTACTGATTGATCTGTTCTATTTGGAACTGGTGCTTCGCGATAGCTGATTTTGCCTGCGGTTCCACGTCACTACTGTTTGCATTGACATTTGTTAGTGTGCTGAGAAAATCTTCGAAGTCATTTTTTTATATATATGGACATATATGTGAAAAATATTGAAATTCTTCTTTCAGTTCGGTCACGCTTTAGGTCATGAGAAATATTGTGAAATAAACAAAATGATCCTCTAGAATCTCTTCTTCGAACAAAGCATGATAATCCTTGGTTAACCAAGCACTTTATCGTACTAAGAATGATATAATTCCATCTATAAACTGTAAGAATGGAACAGCACCACATATCTCGTTGGAGATAGCGGAACTCTTTAATTCTTATTTTGCTTCTAAAAAATATCGAATTAGTGTTCGTAGTGGAAAATAGATTTAAATTTGGTTAAATGCGAAAGTATGACCTTTGTAAGAAGTTTAAGTTCTTTAAGTAAATATAACCAATCTTTGTCCATCTGCCGAAAAATTATCAAAGAAGTGTAAACTAGAAAATAATTAGGCCTTGATTCAAATTTATTTGAAACGCTCACATAAGGGACCTAATTGAGAGTGAGTCCTACAACTATATGAGGCTGTTGAAATGGGACTGATGAACCTGTCGAGACGGAAACCTGTTCCTGTATATAGAAACAAAAAAGATATAGTTGTTAATTTACTTAAACCGAAGCTTAAACTGGATACATTGACTCTTCGTGGATTTATCGATTGTGCTTCTGTCTCTGCAGTTTACAACTTAATGGATACGTTCATCGAGCAATATAAAGGTTCACATAAGTCTACTCTAAATTCTCCTTTATTAGTATTTCATACTCTCCTCAAACTTGAACTTTTCTTCATGCTATCATGCCTCATTCTCGCCATTGCCCTGTATTTCTTCTTAATGCAACATAACATTTGTTTCTTCCTTGTTTGCTGACTTTTTTTGTTTTTTCTTATTTTAATATGTTCGGAGAAATCTTGATCTTCTTGTTTTCCACTTCTAGTAATACTTTTTGAACATTGTAATGAGGCCTGGCCTCGGTTCTTTTCTCTAGTTGTATTTACAAATAAAAGTTATAACAGCTTTATCATTTTCAAGATTCGGTGTGTTGGGACCTTTTGTTTGTATCGCGGAACTGCACCAGAGTCAAAAACTAAGAGTTTTCACAATTATCGTTATTTCTCTCAAAGAAAAAAACGCAAACTTACGTTGGGCGGCGCGATAGTTATTGAGTTTTTACAATTCGTTTTCTATTTCTTAGTCAGCACATTAATGTGACCCTATTATCCTAACTAAAATAACATAGCTGTAATAACTCAAATATAATACTCATTTTCTGTTTTCTATTTAAACCATGTAGCTAATCCAGAAAACGCGAAGACATTAGAAGCCAGGACACAAGCATAAAAGATCCGAGAGTTCGTTGAATTCTTCTCCTAGCAAATAGCTGTGCAATTTGATCTTTCACAAAACAAATCATGTTTGAAACGCGTCCATCTATTGTTATTTTACACATATTATCTAGTACAATATTTCTGACAGTTGTAACTGATGCTCGAGCAGTTTTAGCTAGTCATGTCCGCCCATCTGATGTTATACATTTTGAATCCAAACTCGACACGAACTTAGGTTATTGGTCACCCAGCACTAGTACAATTGATTGGTGCGAACGTAATTACGCTGTAACCCAGTATATTGCTGAATTCTGGAATTGCATTTCAAGCTTCTCAATGTGTATATTAGCTGGACTATTACTCGTTCGAGGTTTATACAATAGGATTGAAAATCGGTTTTTATTGTCCAGTTTGTGCTTTGGACTTGTTGGATTCGGTTCTGCTTATTTTCATGGTACACTCACACATTTAGGACAAATGACAGATGAACTCCCAATGGTCTATTCAATGATTATCTGGTGGTTTATATTATTTAGAATGGATAAATTAGAGCACTTAAAGAGTAAAAAGACTGTAATTAATATATCACTTGTGTTTGGAATATTTTATGCACTGTTATGGACCTATGTACACAGTTTACAAACATTCGTACTGATATTTCAAGGACATTTTACCTTGATGGTGTTCGGAGGAATTATTAAACTGACCTATTTATATCGACAGACACAACATCATACGCGTTGGATAAAGTATCTGATTATGGTATATGTTGGCTTATTAGCTCCAGCTATTATATGCTGGATTATTGATCAACGGTTATGTGAACGGATGAATACTGTAAGTGTGTTTAATCCACAGTTGCATGCCTGGTGGCATTTAATTTGTGCTATTGACTGTCACGTCGGAATCGTGTGTGCCGAAGCTATGCGTCTTTTATCAATCAAATATCAACAGCATCAAGCAAAAGATGCTCAATCTCCCGACCAACCGTTTAAACCGGAAGATCATTTGCATATCGTCTTTTATTTAGGATTACCGTTCGTAGATTATTCTAAAGACAAACAAATCAATGAAGCAAAAAACCAGTAGATTAGAAATGCATGTCTAGTATCGTTCAAAAAGCTATAACAATGGACTCGATTGTGTCTTGAATATCTTGAGAACAGAAAGAGTTAAGAGAGTTTAGGTTTCCAGCACTATTAAAGCGAAGAGTTTGACAGATCTTTCCTTACGTAAAATAAATTTAAAAATCTTTTTCTAACGCAGGCCTTTGTGAGAATCTCTGAAAAACTCGTTTGAGTCTTCAAAAATAAAAGTCAGAATATATTGTCTTCTTTTATGAATAGATAGTACAACGTCTCTTTGAAATGGCAGTCAACCAAGATCTTGATCGTCAACGGTTTAGGTATGGCATCGGATTTTAACAGAGCCCCAGGACTGGTATCCAGTGACCATTAGTAGCTTGAAAATTAGATGCAACATAGATAATCGTCTACGTTAAAGGGTAATATTTGTTTTCTTGGAACAAATCGAAAAACCTAGTTTTCTAACACTCCTGTTTAACCCATATAGTTTATACCTTTGATCAGTGACCAAAGCCCGTCTAGTCTGTGATGAGTTATAGAAAGATGTTATAGACAGAGACAAGTGTGATATAGAAAAAGAATGACACGGATAAGGGGCAAGCATATGTGAAGTATACGGCCTGCAATACTAACGATTACGTACTTTCACCACAAATAAGATTTGCCGAAAGTGCTATAAATCAAAACATTACATAAATGAGTACAAATTTTCAACATTCAAATGTCACGTTGGCAGTCAGGAACATGATTCTACTACCTACTGTACAAATTAAGCATGTGATTCAAATTGTCAATGCAACGATCCAAGAGAAGACTCATCCTGCTCAGTTATCGTTCGGTATCAACAGCAACTTCTGGAACGAGTAAAACAATTTCATAACCATGATAGCCAGTTAATACTGCAGTACGGCCTGCTCCATTCGCAACTAGGTAGAGCATGGTGAAGGAGCTTCATATTCACAAGTACCACGAGATATACCATCATCACATGAGCCAGTCAACTTCTGTGCCAGCAGTATGACTATCAAAGCATTCAACTTGTTTTCGACGTACATGGCTGGTGCATATTCGTCTGGGAATGTATTTGTATATATGTTATCAATGCACAAGTTTTACTTTAGTTAAAGGGAGAACTAAGAAGTAAACGGATGAAATAATTTCATTCTAATTCTCACCAGCAGTTCCATTTTTCACAATCAACGTCAACTGAATAACTGTGATGCCAATTCAGTTTATTCGCCATTATTCATGTCGTTTAAGAAACTAGATTTTGTTTAAATTCATCAGAAACTCTCTTAAGAATTAACAAAAAACTGAAAACGGACTGTGCAATAATCCCTAACATCTATCCTTTTCGCTGACTAGCATCTACAAAACTATCAGCTTAAATAAATCTGATTGGATCACAAAAATATCCTTTTTCTACGTCGTAATAGGCGCCATGTGGTTAAAAACTGCATTGAACAATCTTTTTTTCGGAATTTTTAGATATGTTTGATTTTTCAGCAAAAATCTCGGTCCAAAAAATTCGAGTTGTCTAAAAATTCCGACACAAAGACTGTTCGATGTAGTCTTAATGGTGATTCCAAATATGATGTTGGTTTTGAGACAAAACTGAAATTTTAAAATGAAAACTGTCAAATATGATTGCATTTCCTTGATTTTTCTCGCACTTGAATTAGAACGGATTGAACCAATGATATGCAGGGTTTGTTTATTATTGTGGAGCTCTTCAAGAGCTATTTTTTCATACTAAAGACTGGTTAGTTAAGGACTAGCATCCTCTCTTATTTATGGGCTAAAATAGGGGGAAAATGATCGCTATGATCACTAGATAGGGGATGTTCGAAAATAAACGATTCCTCCTCAAGGGTACCCTCCTCTCTTTTTTTATCCTCTTGGAAACCGAGGAAATCGATGTCGGTTCGAGGCGAATTTATATCGGAGACAGGACATCGCAAAAGAAAATCATGTATTTTTGCCCACAATTATTGATGTGCTTTTCTATGGGTTTTGTAGAAAACTCCAGTTTTCATCGGGTTACATTATGACCCTTCGAAAAAATGATCAGATCGAACACAAAATTTTATCGCAGATACTTTAGACCCTATCTCAGGTGCGAGAAAAACACATATTCCATATAGGAATCTGTTTTTTTTGGCAATTGCGGTGATGTTTCCACAAAAACGCAGCGGAAAATTCTGGAAGACGTCTCATTCTGAAGAGCACATTTCCTTCTGTCGTGCGAAGTACAAGCAAAAACTTTGAACGTATAGAAATGGAAAGAAAAATTTACGAAACTAAAAAATTGAGATTTTAGTGATTTTGCAGGAAAAACTTAAAACTTCATAATTTTTTCAGGAAAGGTCATGAAGAGCTGAGAGTGGTCTCGTTTTATAGTTCAGACTTTACTCTATATTAGACTATGTTCAGCTCAAAATAAAAGTTTTCTGCAAAAAAGAGGGACGGGAATATCCTTAAATATACACTGTATGACTATGGTCCATGTACTAGTTTGTCAGTTTTTCATTGGCTATTTTTCTACATCAGGCTTTAACGTGACTTCATACTAGATTTTGAAAAGAGTCCTTTTTATTAAGCACCGATATGCTTTATGTACCCTCTCAGAAAAAGTTAATTTTAAAAGTCTCCATAAGGCTATAATGGTACATATGCACTTCACAATGTGTAAAATCCTTTTCCCGTATATTCACCGAGTATTCACCGTATTCTGTTTCTTTGATTAGCAAAAGAGAAAAACATGTGAAAAACATAATTTACGTAGTTTAATTTGGATAATGCTCTTATGCAAGTTAAACAAAACAGTTTAAACACCATCTCCCACCTTGTTTCAACAATTTATTCGTCGTGGATTTGCACTACAATCACAAGCGATTTCAACATGAGATTTCAAAACTTTTATCGATTTAGCTTTATGCATACGTACCGTACGTATCGGATGTCGATTCACTTGTGATAAGTGAATCGACATCCGATGAACACTACTTGTATGAGACGAAAGCGCGTGACCTGGCGAAAATTTTGGCATAAAGGTATTCTGATCAATATTTGTCAGAGTAGGATCACTCGGAAAAGTGGCCAAAATTAGCCTAAAATTCGATACATCAAGCAGATCAAGGGTGCTTCTGTGCAACAAGTTAACAAATATATGGTAATTCGTTATAATGCATTTGATAGCCCTTGATCTGGGCTACATTTTCCTAACTGAGGTATCTTCCCAAAGTGCTTTATTACTTGCCATCAAAGCCGTCATCTACTACAATCGGAGTACATCACGCGCACGGAAGTAACATTCCATAGACTTTTCGTCAGGAAAACTTTTTAAACCCAGCCTTCATTATAGCTCATACGATAGCCGTTTTCAAAAATTACAAAACCGCATATTTACCAAAATTAAAAAATACTGTTCACTTAAGAAATGCCCAAGCACAACGTCGTTGACTACTTCTTTTTTCCATTTTTGACTGATATTTCGCAGATTCTGGATTACAATTTGAGTCAAAACTAATAGCACAGTTGGGGTCAGCATTAAAAACCTAGTCGATTTATGTGTTTTTCAAATTTTTTTCACCAACTTTTTGTCGTCTAAAAATTCAAACCGAGTCCACCTCAGGGTTCTTCTACAAAATGAATTCAATCAAAATCTCACTTTGACAGTGAAAAGCAAGCCCTGAGCTTGTAAAATGTTAGTACATTAGAAAAAAGTCAACTTTTGCCGCTGGTGGTTTAGCAAGTTAAAACGTTTAGGATAACCTACTGTGATGAATAGACATCAAACAGCGACCAGGAAAAAATTTTCCATTTATTTTAAAGAAAATGTATTTCGTGCTGGAAATAGCCTAAGCTCGTGCATAAAAACTCAAAAAAATGAACTCATTCTTTTCTCATGAAACTCCGTCCAGACTTCAATCTCTCTTAGATAAGATTACACAGAAAAAAAATCAGATCTCAACACCTTTCTCTTTAGGAGATATTGCTGCATCAATATTCACTCTACAGCAAGGGGGAAAAAGCGAACTTCGAGACTTCAAAACTTCGGACTTCCAATCGCACTTCTGCACTTCGGAAACACTTCGGGAATACAACATTGTAGACTAAAATAGCTGATGATATTCAAGTAAATAAATCAGCTTTACTTATGTTCTTTCCAGATGATATTAAAAGTTTTAATCCATTATTGATCAATTTATAAAAATTATTTATAAAACTGACAAAATATCGACATTTCTATTCACACATCAGTTCAGAATATTCTCGTTCCGATAAAGAATGTATTCATTAAGAACATCGATTGAAGCTTTTCAGATAAAAAAATTATTTATGCATTGAAATAGGACATCTCGATGTTATTAAGGAGGGGTTAACCACCCCGTTTTCTTTCATACCTTTGTAGAGCGCATCAAGCTGTATATACCCTGAAGCGCTTTCGATGAACCGACTTGTAATTACTGAGAAAAGAAATTTTTACGAATATCACACGATTTTGACCCCCTATTTAAAAAATTTAAAAAAAATTCCAAATTGGAGCTGGAACTCTTATTGTTACGCAGTTCGATAGAGTACCTTAAGTGACATATACCCACAAGTTATAATGACAATTGAACCAACGGTGTCTGAGAAAATTAACATTTTCCTTATAGTGCAGTTTGAGTTCTTAAAGTAATTTTTAGAAACTTATGCACGCTTTTCAAAATCAACGAAACATTTTGAAAAAAAATTTTCGCTGGCAAAGTTGTTCAGGATAATGCTCTTCGTACAAACACTTGCTTGTTAGATTCTTTTGTTTTAACCAACAATAATTCAATATTATTCGTACATTTTTGCTACTATATTTATTTTGCATTGGTATATCATAAACTGAAATTTTTGTATTATCTATATTAAAAAAAATGAGTTTTTATTTGGCGTTCAATACATGTAATTCAGATGTTCCAGTAGGTGAAACGAGCGGGATCATTATAGCAACAAATATTATTTAATTGA